TTATTAAGTTCGCCTAATTTTTCAATGCATTTTATTAAATTATTTAGGATTGTAATTTACTCTCAATACACTTTATATTTTTTTTCTTAAATTATCCTTTAAGATACACCCAAATATTAAACAAATTAAAATTTTCAAATTACACTACTACTTTTAAGGGTAGTCTCAGGATTAAGCAATTGATAATTAACCATAATAGCCGTCTTGTGGTTTCTGAGTCTGTCTCATTCATTGCAGAGTCAGCCATAGATGTTGAAACTAGGGCATGCCTAGAAGTTTTGGAATGGTGCCAGTTAAGGACCATAAGGAGTATTTTTTTTTTTTTTTAAATTATAAAAAAAAAAAATTCTTGAATGTGAGTTGGGGAAAATATCTTCAATGTCAATTGCTTACAGATTCCAAAATAACCGGTTGCTATCTGATTTAATCCAATTCATAGGAAGGGACCTACCACCAAAGCACCAGTGGAGCTCATTAACCGTCCCAGTCACGGACAAGTTTCGATCAGAATACAGCGCGAGCTCTCCGAAGAGAGCCTCTAAAAAATTCAGGATTTTTTGCGCCCTCCAAAAATCGAACTTGACTCATGACTGTGGGAAGACAATGCCCTCACCACTGGGCCACAACCCTCGGTGGTAAGGACCATAAGGAGTATGGTTTTGGTTTTCTGTGTTCAGTCGGGTATGGCAGAGGATTGGCACTATCAAAAGTTTTACAGGACATATGTAATGTTTGTAAGGTTATGGACTATGTGTATTAGTAAGGTTGATAGGCGCACTGTTAATCTTGGCACAATCGCTGACTATTGTGTCCAACAAAATTATATAGGTATATCTGCAGCCTTGCGTTCATCAAAAAAAATAAATGAATAAAGAGTACATCCAAATTGCAAACAATGATGTTGATAATAATTGTAAATTTTGATGGAATGGATTGGAATTATCGAGTGAGCAAGAAGATAAAAAGAAAATAATTGAAATTTGAGAAAGAAGATAAAGAGAGTTGAATAAGAATAATACATATGAGTGATTTTGGTGTATCATGAGGAAAAAATATATTTTTTAATTTAGTATTTAATATGTATTGTACTTTTTAATAAATTTACATTAGAATATAATAAGATCTAAAATTTCAAAATTTTAATTAAGCATACTGAATTATTATTTGGGTGCAATAACTGACTCTTTTAAGGTCCAAATTACATTTGGGGTCATTCTATTTGAACCTAAAAATTATGCTCAACTCAAATTTTAAAGTTTTAATTCGTATTATTTTATTGTTTCCTAATGTGAATTTACTAATAAGAACAGCACATATTAAATCTTAAAGATGAGGTAAGTATTTTGGAGCATATGTGAATTTACTAATAAGAACAGCACATAGTAATAAGAACAGCACATGTGAATTTACTAATGTGAAGTAACCTATCAAAGATGAGGTAAGTATACACATAAATATCAAAATACAATTATTAATTTTTGTGCTTTTTTTTATACATAAAAGTGAATATTCAGCTTATTTTTCGTCATTATTGTTCAGACTTTCAAAACTGAACAAATACACTTTGTTCAGCAATTACAGATGAACAAAGTGAATTTGTTCAGTTCTAGAAGTCTAAACAAACACTACAACATATAATAGTTTTAGAAACTAAATTTTTTAATCTCTAAATGTGAAAATTTTGTTGCAAAAGACATTTGGGGAACAATTTCTATTATCGTGAGGATAGTCACTAAAAGACCATCTCGAAAGATAAAAAACAAGCCTTTTAGCAACAAAATTTTGAAAATGTCACTAATAAATAAACTTTTAAGGACAAAATAATTTGGTCTCAAAATGATTTATTTTTTGAGACAAAAAATTTGATCTCAAAAGGATAATAATTCATCACTAATGTTCAATTTTTGTTGCTAAAAATATAATAATAACACTTTTCACAATAAAAATATTTGATTTCTAAAAAATAATTTTGTCCCTAAATTTTAGTCTCTTAAATCTTAATTTTTTTTTAATGAAATTCACTTTGTTCCATTCTAGAACTCCGATGCAAAGTTCACCCTCTGTTTTTCCTTCACTGTTCTCATTCGTGGGTACCAAATTCCCTAAATAATTTAAATTAATTTGAATTTTTCAAAAGAAGTTGTTGCACAGAATCTTGATAAGATATTACAGATTAAAGCATTAGAACTATTAACTATAATATAAACTCGTGCACTGATTTTTAAATTGTTCGAACTAGACAATTCAAGAAGAACTTCATCAAAATGACGAGGCATCTCCAATAAAAAAATTTAGACGGACCTAAGGGTATGATATTTTAACTTATATTTATGTCTCTTCTGTCTGTCATTTTAATTTAATAATTATATGAGAAAAAAGTATTTAAAATTTCACAGAAAAATGATATTCCCTTTTGTTGAGGTCAATATGTTTCCAATTTTAAATATCATTTTTAATCGTATGCAATGCACTTTGTTCTAAGTTATAGGAGCTTCTTCATTAGATGTCTTATATTTAATTTTGGATAAATTATCCTTTATCTCTTTTATGTTTAATTATTTTCTTATATTAGGTTTTTAATTTTATTTTATTTTATATTTTTTTTCTCATTTCTTTAGTCCTTCTTGCTAAGAGCAACTCCTAGGAACAAAGCAAAAGACCCACATGAGGCATTTTTACTAGTGAAGTTGGTTTGGTTTTCTTCCAAACGGCTCTGCATCACAAAAAGCATTTTGCCTATTTTCATTTTGACTCTCAATAAAGAGTAACTAGCATTTGTTGCTACGTAAAGGGTATTCTCATCATTTTGTCCACATCTGCTTGTTGTTTGTTCTTTGTTTTGGCCCGTTTGATTATTTCAAAACGTCAAAGAATATGATCGTTCACAAATATAAGTGTGTAAAAATATTAATTTAATAATATTTTTTAAAAATAAATATTTACAAATGACATGAAAGCCACTTCAACACTAGGTACACACATAACATGTCATAAAAAATATTTTTTATTTAGTTTATAGTATTTAAAAAAAGATTAATTAAGTTAATTTAGTTGATTAACTAAAATAAAGAATTTGTTGGAATACATACCAGCCAAACTAGTTGGATAAAAATAAAAAGAATACTTTTCTATGTACTTTTACAAGACATTTTGCCTATTAACCCTGAATTATCAAATTAACCTAATTTTTTTTATGTATAATATATATTGAAGGTTCTACAAAATAAAAAGTTTGAATCATTGAAATGAGAACATAATAAAAGTCTAATCCAAAATATACTATTAAAAACTTTTAGACCATCTCCAACCCAATACCTTTTGTTTTATCGAATTTAAATTTGATAGAAACAAGTTCTTTTTGTTGCTCTAACCCTTTTATCAAATAAGTATCAAATCTAGAATTTCTCAAATCTTTTATCAAATTGATGGATGTGTCTTTCATCAAATCATTATTTATAATTGTTGGAGTTATAGGTCATTTTCACCACCGGACGACTGGTTGGATGTCCTACTAGTTGTCCTCTCGGATGACCACCTCCATACAAAAATTTGTGAAAAAATTACACTGGTTGGTCGACCGGCCGAACATCTATCCAATTATCTGCCCAGTCAGCCAGTGTTTTGATAAAAGTTTAAAATCCTCTGTTAGAGCAAGTGATATCAGATGGCGTTGTTACTCAAATTTGGTATTAAAAAAAAATATATATATATAACGTTGAAGATACTCTTAAGAACAATTTATTATAAATAAGATTTAGTTGTTAATATTTTAATAGTCCATAATATTAAAATTTTCAAAACAAGACATAATTGTTGGCAATTTTTGTTTATTTTTTCAAAGTATATAATAAATAAGATATAATAGTTATGCTACGGTACACATGCTAAAAAAAAGTGTGTAATCATATATAAGTTATGATATTTATGGTTGACATTTGTGGAATTAATTACCATAATACCACAAATGTGTGGTTCTTTTTAGGTTTATAACCCCAAAAAAATAAATAAATTGAGTCATAACTACATACTATATAAGATATAGTCAAAATGTTTTTTTAGAGTTATAACTAAAATAATTACAAACAATAACACCACATTATATATAATTATAGCATAACTAATACTATAATAAATCATAGATAATAGCTAAACATCATAAATGCGACATATGGTAGATACCTTAATAAAAGACCTATGGTTGACACCTTAATAAAGATATGTATAGTAAGATTTCCCAAGATATAATCATGTGACACCGATAAATCTACTTAAAGGTCACGTTTGTTTGACGGATTAGATTTGGTAAGAGGATGATTAGTAAATAGATTGTTAATGTGAAACTTATTAGTGAAAGGTGTGTTTGTTATGATAATAGTGTGAGAGATGATTAGTGATGAGATTATTAAATTATTTTTATGTAAAATAAATAAAAAAATTATTTCTATATTAAAAAAAACTAAAAGAAATATAAAACAAACAGATGTATTTGGTAAAAAAACAAAAATTTTATATAAAATAGACTCAATTCGTTTATTATTTTTCTAATCTCATCAAAAATTTCAGAAGAATTACTAAGTCCGTTGAACTATTACTCTCTCCTCCCAAATTGTGGATGAAACCCACACCACACCCATACCCCACACCGGTAGACAACCATCGCCAAAGCACCATATAAAATTAACAGTTAAATATAACGAAGGTGGATCTCATATAGTGAAGGTGGATCTCGAGGAAGGAGACCATGTGTGGCAATGATATTCATCCAAATTATTATCTTTCATATTCATAGTCTATTTCATAAACAAATTCTATCTCAATAGTTTAGTCTTCTAAATTTTAATAATAAAAATGTATTTTCACACACATCAATAAATTATATTTCATTTTTTAAAATAAGTCATAAAATAATGAATTATATTTTATTTTTTAAAATAAGCCATAAAATAATGAATATGCAATATAGTGAAACGAATACGAATTATTCCCAAATGCTGTGCCAATAATTAAATGGACATCATGCAACACAAGTTTGCATTTCCAGATGGTGCCTATATCTAACGATTTTTAACTAATACTGTTCTGGTTTTTTTTAGTAGTCAAAACTTTCACAAGTTCAACAAATAGAACTATTTCTCCGGGAAAAAAATGAAAACAGAGACTCACGTCGTCCTTGTTCCGTTTGTTGCATTTGGCCACATGATGCCATTTTACGAGCTCTCCCTCATCTTAGCCAAGGCCGGTATTCGCGTCTCTTACGTTTCAACCCCAAGAAACATCCAGAGGCTCCCTCAACTCCCTCCTGAATTATCATCACTCGTCACCTTTGTTCCTATTCCTTTGCCTTCGCTGGGCTCCAACCTCTTGCCGGAAGGTGCAGAGGCCACTGTCGACATTACGGCCGACAAAATGGGGCACTTGAAGGCCGCATTTGATCTCCTCAAACAACCCTTCAAGCAATTCGTCGCTGAAAAGTCTCCGGACTGGATCGTGACCGACGCCATCTGTTCCTGGACAGTTGATGTCGCTGAGGAGTGTCATGTCCCCGCCGTTATCTTCTTCCCCTTCACTGCCGCCACCCGTGTGTTCGTCGGACCACCGGAATATTTAGTCGGTGATGCTCAGAGAAGAGTGAGGTCGTCGCCGGAGGACCTGACGTCCCCGCCGTCATGGGTAAGTTTCCGGTCATCGGTAGCATTTCGTCTTTACGAAGCAATCGGCTTTTTTACTGGGTTAAACACAAGAAATGCCTCCGGCATTACAGATGCTGAACGAGTCGTTAAATCACTTGGAGGGTGTCGAGCTGTGGCGATACGTAGTTGCAGAGAGTTCGAAGGAGAGTACTTAGATTTGTTTGAGAAAATTATCGGTAAACCTGCGATTCCAGTGGGGTTACTTCTCCCGGCAAAACCCGACAAAACACGAATCGCCGCCGCTGACGACGGCGCGTGGAGTAAGATCTTCGAATGGCTCGATGAACAGAAACCCAAATCAGTGGTGTTCGTTGGGTTCGGAAGCGAGTGTAAACTCACGAGAGACCAGACTTACGAGATAGCTTCCGGGCTAGAGTCATCGGAATTGCCATTTTTGTGGGCTCTGAGAAAACCCAGTTGGGCTTCCGACGATCTCGATGCTCTCCCGCCGAAATTCAATTGCCGTATCTCCGGCAGAGGTAAAGTCTGCATCGGATGGGCACCGCAGATTGAGATTCTGGCTCACCCATCGATAGGAGGCTCGTTGTTTCACGCCGGATGGGGTTCGGTGATCGAAACATTGCAATTCGGGCATTGTATGGTTGTTTTGCCACAGATCTTCGATCAGCCATTGAATGCGAGGTTGTTGGTGGAGAAAGGCTTGGCAATTGAAGTGAAGAGAGGTGACGATGGGTCGTTTAACGGGAACGACATAGCTCGGTGTCTGAGAAAAGCTATGATTTCTGAGGAAGGAGACGAAATGAGAGCTCAGGTGAAAAAAGCTGCTGAAATTTTTGGAGATCGAAAGCTTCATGAGGAATATGTTGCTGGTTTTGTTGAGTATCTTAAAACTGAGAAGTCACGTTTGGGTGTCTAAAGGTTGAAAGCAAGGAGTCCGGATTCTCAGTAGCACTTTCCTGCCGCCCACCAAAACATTGTCGTTTTGGAGGTTTTTTTTTTTTTTTTCTTTCTCTTTCTCTTTCTTTCTTTCTTTCTTATCATCAACATTGGGCACTATGTTGCTGATACATCAACACTGGTACACTGGCATGTTGCTGTCTCTCACCGATGATTAACTCTCTCTCTCTCTCTCCCTCTCTTCCTTGTATGTCTTCCTCTTCTTTTCTCCGTATTTTTCAAATCATCATACCCACTGAAAGAAAACAAAAACAAAAACAAAAACAAAAAAAAAAAAAAAGAAGAAGAAGAAAATAAAACTGAATGTTGAAGCTTGATTATCTCATCCAACTCGGTTTCGAACATCATCTCCATGACAGCAAACGGAGCTCTCTCACAACGAAATATTGTTTAGATTCTAGCTCTCTCTCACAGCGTTCATTGATTCAAATGTCATTGGGGAGCTTTCATCAAAAAATCGAAGAAATCAATTTAAAAGTTGAAGCTGGCCAGCAAAATAAAAATTTATATTTTAGATGTTTATTCTCTTCCTTTTCTTTTTTTTAAAAAAAAAAAAATGATTTATCAATTTGTGGGTTTGTAGTGATTTTTTGTTGAGTAGTTTGTGAATGTTAGATGTTTGTTGAAACACCTCAATGATACGTTAATGTTAAATACATGTTCAAAGTGTGAACCATGGCTCTGATGCACTTTTGACAAAATTGTTAGTCAGCTCCATGTCCTCCTACGAATCAGACTCTATCGCCGCCTCACCTCGCCTTGCCTCCGTCGCCTATCCGTTCGTCACCTCTGTCCCCTTGCCTCGCCTTGCCTTTCCTTTCCTTGCCTCGCCTCTCTCTCTTGTCCAGATCTGCATTTCTGTCTCAGAGGCTAGGGTTCAAAAATGAGAAGGGGAAAGCAAAATAAGAAAGAAAGAAAAAAAAAAAACCTTCCAAAACGACGTCGTTTTGGAGGACGGCAAGGAGACGCCGCAGGGGAGTGCAGCCGAGGATCCAGACTCTCGTAAGTTTTGCTTAGTGAAGTTTGAAAATAATTAAAACAAATCACTTAAAATCAAAATTGGAGGAATTACAATTAAAACATGCAATTTTTTTTTTTTTTTGTGCGGATAAATTCATCATTGTATCATCAACTTCCTCTGATTGCTATATATCTAACAAAAAATAAATATATAAATATAAAAACTAATATCTCATGGGTTAACATCCACACACACAAAAACACACACAAAAAAAAAAAAAAAAAAAAAAAAAAAAAAAAAAAAAAAAAAAAAAAAAAAAAAAAAAAAAAAAAAAAAAAAAA